TCGAAATTTAGTTAACATTTGCTACAAATAATATATCATTCACAATATTCGATATTTAAACCATATATTAGGCCTATAGTTGTAAAGATTCTTTAAATTATGTGATAAGAAGAAGTTATTACAAATTAATTTATATTATCTAATTTGTATAAATAGGTCAAGTTTTAACAGCAAAGGTGATGTTTACATAAAAATCAATCAAAGAGATCTGTGTCGGATAAGAACTGTTTTCCAAACAAATCGACTCTATTATATAAGTAAATTTGATTACTTAAGAAACCATTATATGTAGCTATTCCTTACAAATTATCACCAATATCTGATGATTGTCATTTTCCTCCGCTGGATCAAGTAAATAGGTGTGTTCTCAGTTCAAAAAGTTCAACGTGGATGGGTCTTATGGATTTTAGTAATATTGGTTTGATCTCAGAAGTACATAATTCGTCATATCCAAAAGGCACTTTACAGAGGGTACATAAAGGCTCTGTGAGCATTTGAAGTTGATATAAACATTGCTAGTAATTATTGGTTGTTGACGAAACTCCACGAAGAATCAGGATCTGCTAGATATACCAATCATTAGCGGTGCAAAATGGATTTTCTAAAAGATAATGTTATTTTCTTATTAAAATTGCACAAAATTGGTGGGTAAATGAAGCTCTACATTTGCACAGGCCAAGCAAGATAGACCTAAACTTAACTCTATACAAAATGTATGAATAATTCGAGCAGGTGCTGAATAAGCACTTGCTAGAGTTAGGCAAACAGCAGACAAAGATGGACTGCAAATATAAAAGTAAGTCTGACCATTAACCAGCAGTTTTTCAACAGCGAAAAACTATTATTGAAGGAACGTTTATAACATTGGTTACATCAAAAAAGAACAATTCCCTTGCTGTCATAATAGCTAAAGATACTCCTACCAAGTATTAGAGCCTTTATACATCATTTCTGCAACAATTATTTGAAAATGGGTTTAATCTCATGGCATAATATTGTGTGGATCGTAGGCCCGATTTGACGCCAATTTAAGGAAATTTTTAACATATTCCTCCATCGCGATCGTTATGTAAACATCGCGCAGAAAGTGGATTAAATATCACCCATTCAGTCAACAACTGTTTGAGAATTATAACAATCTGGTGTTAAATGATAACAACCTATTGTTAAAGGTGGAGAAAGTCAACTGTCGAACAAGTAAACAGAACGAATCTAACAAATCTCGAACCAAATATGTTCATGACAGCTCCATCTAAATGACCCCTGACCTCACACCTGCAGATTTGTCACCAAACATTTCATTTTATCAGGCCAAATCCGAATATAAGGACAAAGTACCCGCACTTCGGAGCGTTCGTCACTGGTAAGCGACCTCAACAGATCGAGCAGTCATCAGAAGTTAGCATACAGACATCGGTGGACTTACCCAACGACTATACCAGGTAGACATCCCCTGAGATCATATTAAATGGACATCTCCAACCTCGCCATACAGAATGGACACCCAGTCTCATACTTTAGAGGTACTCCACTCCAGGCTCCATTTTATCCCAGATTTTCCATTTAGCTCTGAACCTACATAAGAAGACCGACGACGACCCGACATTCCGATAGGTTAACGAATCGAGAAGTAAAATAATTAGAGAACTTTATAATTCTTTCTACATATCTTAGGTATTGATAGATAGCTTATAAGGCAGTATCTGTAAACTGTGAGCGACATATGCCGTAGGTTAGTCGCGCAGCTTTATAGAGTTACTCTTTTAGTATAGTCGTGTGTTACGTAGTTCTTTTGTATATTTTCGATTTTAGTTATAATAAACTCTTGTTATATTTGTTTGCTAATCTAGCTATCTGTCGTTACTCGGAATAACGGATTCTATCGACTTACCCACTGCACTCTCCACTCGATTATTCTAAGACCCTCCTATTCCGCCATCAAGTGACCCAGTGAGCGGGTTTCGCCAACCCGACGGTTAGAAATCTTTACCCTTGCCCATGTTCTCACAATATTTAAATTTTACTTTTCAAGATTTTTTTCGTTTTTAACCCTTTCCTGACAAATATTTGTATTGTACTTTTTAGTATATTGTAATTGTCATTGTTAAATTTGCCTACTTTCTCAATATTATGTTTTTTTCTTATTTATCTAATATAATTACATTTATTTAATTTTAACTTATTATCAATAAATATTATCATTTTAATTAATTTCTATACATTTAAATTTATATTACTGAAAATTTATTTAAATATAATTAAGAAACAGTTTAAAGAATATTAAACTCCAAGAAAACGAAACTCTGATTGTAATTCCTTAAAATTTGTTTTTTCTTACGATAAATATAAACAATACAAATAATTGTCAAGTCTTGCTGATTTTCTACGTCTAACTGTTAAATTAAAAACAATAGATTCATTATAAAAATCAGTTTACGAACTCTTTAAAATGTTCTGCTACAAACCTAAGCTCCCTGAACAGGGTGTTAAGCAGAGGTTTTCGTCGTAATGCATAAATGCCTCGAAATCAATAATCGTCTCTATTAGAAAATTAGATTAAAAATTTGCAATAATAATAATTTTTAAAGCATAGCAATTCAAAATAATATAACATTAAACTTTTGTTCATTGAAACAAAAATTACAGCTCTAATTATACTTAAATTCAAAACATGTTGACAGGTTTTTACTACAATGAACCTGATAAAATAAATTTTATCAGGTTCATTGTAAAGGTTCATTGTAGTAAATTTTCTACTATAGAATGAACCTGATAAAATAAATTTTATCAGGTTCATTGTAAAGGTTCATTGTAGTAAATTTACTACTATAGAATGAAGCTGATAAAATTTATTTTATCAGGTTCATTGTACAGGTTTATTGTAGGAATGTGTAGGAAATAATTCGTATGTTCAAGAACTTAAGCGGGAAACAGCTAGCTGTTACCTGCGGCTTTGCCCGTGCGGATTTTTCAAGCAAACCTCATTTATATTCACTATTTCAACAATCATAGTAATTTTCATATAATACCTACAGCTGAGAATAATGAGAATTGCCGAGAATCAAACGAACTGTTTTCAATTTTCTGGAAAGTTTACAATGTTCTATAATCAAACCAATATGCAATAACAAATTCGATTTTAAAACGGTTAGAAACATTTTTAAAATCGAAATAGATAAAAATATTTATAACAATGTCTGAAATGTTATTAATTTAATACACCTAAGTACTCGATGAAAACTAATACCTCTCCCTCTCCCCCCCCGCGGGGAATTTTAAAAAATTCCTTCTTATTGTGCATTCTCATGGCATACCCTACCACAACGCAGATAAAAACAAAAAATCGCATTTAAAATAGTACAGTAGAAGCCGTTCTTCCGGTTAAGACTTAAACCTCTCTCTCTCCCCCCCGCAGGGGTATTTCGAAAAATCCCTTCTTAGTGTGCGTTTCCATGACGTACCCTAACTGTCTACCAAATTTCATCGCTTTAGGTTAAGCGGTTTGCGTTGGACTATGATGAATTAGTTAGTGAGTCAGTCATTCAGTCAGTCAGTCAGGACAAGCAATTTTATATATTTAGATAAATTTTTAAAATATATTTCAAACTAATCTAATTGTACATACTTTAATAAGTTGTTTTTNACCAAATATATTTCTATGAATACATTAATTTCATATAATTCAAAAAGCAATAATTTTTTTCATTTTTAAAACCCATTTTTCAGATTTACCAATCATTCTTTTAGTAAATTGCGTTAAAAATATAAGTGTGAAATATTATTAATATGCGTACTTCGTCGTTCGTTATTTATAAGATCGCATACTAAAATTTATAACCTGATAATACATACATCAAAGTGTTAATGACAAATTTTCATTACAATGCAAAAATAAATTTTATTGTATGAATAGACAGCTATTAGCTAAATTATAGATAATAGCTTTGTCTGTTCCCAGAAAAAATAATTAAACTTAGTGAAAATAACAGTATAATTATGCAGGGCATAATAATTTATCTTAACTTAAATTCCTTATAGAAACTTCGATCTTCCTACTGCATCAATATTTATATAAGATCTTATGGAGAAATAAAGTTTAGTAAAATATATATCAATAGATAAATAATAAAGTTGACTTTTGAAATATATTTTGAATAATATATGGGAATAGAATATAAACTAACTAAATATCGATTATAACAATGTATAATTGTTTGACAGAGAAAATATTTATAACTTATGTCTATCTGAGTTCTTTCAACTACACATCAATTCCTTATCAATATATAAATTTCACAATTTCCTGCAAACAGCAGGTTTTGCCATTGATTCTCCGGTTCGGTAACATTAAAACACTTAAATACAAAAATAATAGAAAATTTATGCGCATACCTATAAAACTAATGACATTATACAAATGCACCAAAGAGTTGCTTAACTCTCCCGGCAACATTTCATAGCTTCATCTTATAAAATTGTATTCGAAAAAAACACCTATTTATATTTCTAGTTACTATTAATATAAAATGACAAAAATCTTCTTTTTTGCAGTATAGTTGAAAATTATAAAAAAATAATTTTGATTTTACTCCAGATATGACAGACAATCCCCTTTATATCTCCCTCGGCTATTAATAACCACAGTTTAATAGCATTTATTACCTTAATAATCAAATCTCCTTGAGAAATCTCAAAAATTTTTGACAAAAAGCGCAGAAGTAAATAAGCTTCAAACAGGGCGAACAAAGTCATGCCACGCACATACATATACACTAACATCCATACATATAAGATAAACGCTCAAAGTTTTTTTGCATTTTTCGACGTTTAAAGTTGTCCTGAGTCCAAAAAATGTAAAAATATTAAGGGGGATTATTTTTTACTGATATACATTTATTTTGTTTTTTTGAAAAAATATTTCACCTTTAACTCAGAACTAAAGTCGCATTATTAAAGAGTTTATTAAACAATTATTAAAACGTTTATATAATTTTACATACCAAAAAAACGCACGAGAGAAAACACCAGCTGAATCGAATGGGTTACTCTTCTGTTTCCTCTCCATTCTGTATTAATATCTCGCATCTGAAATGAGCTATAAACTGAGTGTACATATACATCTACCACACAAAAATTATTAGCATATTAAAGTGTAAAGGTTTATTCAGTTATTTATCCTCAAAAAACCTTGAACTAATAAACAGTTTAATTATGATATTAAGAAAATGATACGTTACTGATATAATAAAAACATTTTACACTTTATATTACACTAAATATATATTACACTACATATTACAACTTATAATGTATATTACAACAAAAATATTACACTACATTTAAAGCGATGAATTGTATGGAAATTGATAAACATATTACAATAAATTATTTCATATATTAAAAGTAGCTAGCGAGCAATTACTTCAATTCGGTATTATATTTATGTAGAAGAGAAAATGAATGAGTGAAACTATGCTGCAAATAAATTACTATTTACATATTTTCTATTTAATTCACTAAATATATGATGAATTAAGTATATTGATTACGGTTATTCTCAACATANATATATTAAAAGAAGCTAGCGACCAATTACTTTAATTCGGTTCTTTTATTATATTTAAGTAGAAATAATCAAACTTTAGTGAAACTACGCTGCAAATAAATTACTATTTACATATATTCTATTTAATTCACTAAATATAGGATGAAATTAAGTGTATTGATTACGGTTATTCTTAACACATAATTTTTTGAAACGACATCAATATAAACTACAGTCAAGTGCATAAAGTCGTCTGGTTTATTTGTGAAGTTTATTTAAGTGATAAGAAGAATCAGTTTTTATAAATTCATTTATAAAGTTAGAGTTGCTTAAATAGATCAAAGAGTAATTGTAAAAGTGTTGTTTATATAAAAATCTTTCAATATTTCCTTTATCGGATAAGATCAGTTTTCTTGACAAACGATCTTGATAAAAATATGTAGTTTTACTTTCAAAAATATGTAGTCACTTCCCGCTTCAGATATGTGATTGTACTGCAATTTTTTTTAAATGTACCCCTATAAATTCTCACTGTCATCTGTCTGTGTTTCTCTCTGTCTTTCCTTTATCTCGAGTGCGGTGATAGATAGGTAAAACATGCTACCAGGTTTGAAATTCTCAGGGGCAGGAGACTCCGTTTAAATATATTGAAGCTTACGATGCCAATTAGAAGTCACGTAATTTCAATTCATGTATTTTCTCTCGAAAGATATTAGATAGATCACTGGCACGACTCCATTGCTAAAGGAAACATGATGTACTGAGGCGAGCCACTACTAATTTGAGATGGAGAACATATATTTTAAATTAAGTAAATTAAAAATATGAATAAAATTCGCAGCCCGGCATTTTCACAATGCCGGGATGCAATTTTTGCAATTTCCTTTTATGAAACCTATACTTACTGTCATGGGTATCTGACTAAAGAGGAAAACAGATCGTTTGACTGGATGCCCTGTATCTGTCATTCTAACCAAGGTTCAGGTGTAGAGAAAGTTGTAAGTTTTTGTCAATTCGTTAAGATGTGCTAGAATATTGTTTTTTTTTACTTCAGTGAGTAGGACGATAAAATCGCTTACAAAAGATCGATTACTGTGATTCGAGTAATAATACAGTAATCAGAGGCTCACGATATCTCAGAAATGTTGACAGATTGCTTGCAAATGATTGCCAGATTAATATCATTTTAGTATCTAAATTTATCAAAGTGTCCATTTTATAAGAATTTTTTTTATTAAAATACCAATTAATTAAAGATTCTTTTTTAATTCACATTTTACCAATAGTATACTTTAAAAATCAGTAGCGTGCAGTTCTTCAAAGTGATTGAAAAGCCGCTTTCCTTGTATTTTCTAAAATATAAATACGTATTGTGCGATTATTTTTATATTTTAACGTACTTTGAATTAATTAAAATTAATATTCTATTATAACCGCATTATGTATTATATTACAAATTTGTGTACTACATGTAAAAAAATGATACGATTGCTATTGTATATTCGAATATAAATTCGTATATGTATACTGTATTCCCAATGGAAGCGCCGTGTTGTCAAATACGGGATAGTTTCCACGGCAAAAATATTTGAATAGTGTAAAGCAGATCATACACATTCGCGCATGAGAATTACAGAGCATTAACTTCACGCGGTTCGGCGGGTTGATACTACACATCAAAATATCATATAACGCTTCCAACGATTCGATCCATAACCGGTTCTGAACTGTTAGCCGCCTGCCTGCTAGATATTTGACCGCCTTCGCCCCATTATGTGAATCTCGAGTAGATTTATAACTTAACCCAACCGAAAGGAGTTTACTGGTGTGTTTTTATGATAATTCTATAGTTGACAAAAGTTTTTAAAAAATCCTTTAAAATATTTCATATATTTATTGTGCTTTTATCCTGTTTTTTTCATGTTCTATTGATATTACTTACAGATTTCAATGTTAATGAATACACTGTGTACAGTAATTTACCTGATAAGACAGACCTCAGAAAAATACTTTATGAGGCATAAAGCTGTCTATAATGAAAATTAATTAACTAAGGATTTTTTTGCCCTGCCAGGATGTGGCCGAGTTATCCGGACTGCCGGGTTATCGAGTCCCGAGTTTTCGAGACTCTACTGTATTGCCAATAAAAAATTTTGATGTCGGGAAATTATAATGAATACAAAATTATAAATAAATGAATACTTATTATACAAATTATTATTTGTACGTTCTAGATTATTATTCATCTTCTAAAACTTTCTTCTTAGAAACATGTTTTTGATCATTCGTTTTATGTAAGAAATCATATTGCTGTCATTTCAAATTTACAATTTTTTACTGTATATTGATAAGAAAACGTTGTTAAATTTATCATTAATCATTTTTGAAGCGAATATATTGCAAATATTCGATGTGAAGATTTAGCTAAAATGACGATAATTGAAAATTTGCTGAACAACAGAAGAACATTCCTTATTATGATAAAAGTTAGTGATTACTAGTGAAGGTAATATTTTAATATTTTGATGCACACTTAACATTTATATGAAGTTTTTGAAAGTTGTTAATGACCGGAAAATAGCCTTTTCAGAACTCCTATAATATATTGTGAAATAATACGCATAACAATGTTTTCACTACAGAAAACATGTAGGTGTATTGTAATGATTGTACTGTATTGATTGTGTTGTAAAGAAAAATAAAGAAAATACGTATCATTTCGGAAAAATTTTAAAACTTAATTATGAAAGTAAAATAAAAAATGATCATCAAGTAAACAACAGCATATTTTTTCATTAAACATAAGTCGTAGTGGTTTGAAACATACTGATCACAAAATTAATTTCAGATGTCGAATAAACTAAAATTACAAATAATTTTTTAATTTAAATTAAGATTGCAAATAAAAATTTGTCGAATGGAATTATTTCAGATCGCAAAATTAATTTATCGATCACAAACCTTAATTAAATTTATTTTATTTTAACAATAAAACAAAATTTCTGTATTAATTATTAAATGTTTTAATATTCGAGAAAATTAGAACATGACAATTGTATGAAATAATATAACACCAAAACAAAATTATTTTTGAAATTTTTTTATTTTTACATTAATAGATTAAATTAGTTTATTTTATTTAAGCTTTTCTAGTTTTTTCATTCACTTTATCTAAAATATGGCATATTCCTTGTATTATAATTTCTGATATTTTATAAATTAAGATTACAAATAATTTGTCGAGTAATAGTTTTATTATCAATATTAAAATTAATTATTTTCTTGATGGATATTTGTTTTAATATTCGAGTTTACGACAATTTGAAATAATATAACAATGAAATTATTTTGAAAAGATTTTTATTTTTACGTTACAGTTTATTTAAGTGTTTCCACTTTTTCCTTCAGTTTATCTAAAGCAAGACATTTCTGCATGTAATAATTTTTTAATTAATTTTTCAGGATATAAATTATTTTCAGATCATATATAATTTTAATATTTAGGAAACTTTTCAATTCACTTCTTAAGAAAAGATTTTCATATTTAAAAAACGTCTCAGTTCAATTTATTGCTTCATATAAAATTAATTTGCGATAATCATTTTTACAATTTGTTCTAATATCCGATGTGGTTGAGAATTATTAATATATATTTGCAATTTTTTTTGTTCTATTATCCAAATAAATTAAAACACGACAATTTCAAATAATATTTTAACAATAAGGCAAAGTTTAATATATTCTTTGCAATTATCAAATTTATTATTATAAAATTTGCAATAATAATTCTTGCAATTTGTTCTAATATCCAAGTGATTTAAAACACGACAATTTTAAATAATATTATAGCAATAAGACAAAGTAAAATAGGGAAATAGTTCAATATAATAATTATTTATATTATAATTGTTACTTATTTATTAAATATCGCAAAATGCACAATGCTTTTTAAAATATTTGCGGAAATAACAATTTTTTTTAAATATTATCTAATCTTAGACACCTGAAGTTTGATGTCTAAATAACTGTAGCTCCAATTTTTAAAAAGATCTTTTTTTCCTATATATCCATCTTTAAATAAAAATAATTCGTTATACGTTTTGAAATAATTTAATAAGTTTCGTAAATTACTATGTTTAATCCAACCAGTTATATCCGATGTTTTTCATCTATAAAATTTAATGCATGGATTTTTTGGTAAAAAATCGACTTGCCATTGATCTTTCGCCGATAATTGATACAGTAGAGCGTCGATTATCCGAAAGAATTCCAGTTGGCAAATTTAAATTTTTGCCAGTGCTGTGGTGCTGCAATCTTTGGCTATGTCTTGGGCTAATCAAATATTTTACGTTTTTGATACTAAATTAACTTCTGAAGTATAATTTTTTATTGTTTTTATATTTTTCAATA